ACACTGCTAAATTAGGGACGACTAGCGCAGATAGCCCTCGTGTAGCTTTGCGCGAAATTCCAAACAAACAATGAAAAGAAAATCATTTACAGTTCTAAAGTTGAAATGTCAAATGTTCTCACTAATGTTTTGTTTGTTTTACAGCACCTCACGTGAATCCCATCAGGGAATGTAGCAGCAGTTCTGCCATCTCGTGGAAAATTTCTGCATCTGCACTTCAAGTGGCTGTTATCTGGCTTTTTGTCGTAGCTTTTATTCAAGAAAGGAGCATGTCCGTAATCAACAATATATAAACTATCATTTCTTCCTAGTTCTCCCAACTCTACTAGCTGATTATCACTAAGGTGGTTCTGGATGATAATAATAATATGTTTGTGTATACAATAACGTTGTGAGATTTTACACATGGAGCCAGATATTTCCACAGAGCAATAATTCAGCACATTTTTCTTTGTTCTGTAATAGTGCGTTATAAAATCCAAGCCTGCATGCACTGAAACGAGAATACTTAAAATATGATTTCGTATTTTACACTTATTACCGCAGTATTTAGTCAATACACTTCATATATATATACATATATGCATACACAAACAAGCATGTTTTATAAATATACTCTCTGAAAATGTTGTACTGGCGAACAGCATCAGAAAGTCGCATAATAACTAATTAAGACGCATGTGGCCTGAACGTAAAATTATGTAAAGATGTTGAAATTTTGGTAAACCAAAAACTCCGGCCCAGTTTTGGATAAACTAGAAGAAAAGTTCTAGATGCGCCACAAACTGACGTGAGCTACTATTGAAGTACCTGTTGCAGATTGTTGATAAGTAATGTAGATAATAGTTGAAGAAACAGCCGTTATATTGACTACTCTTACATTGTTTAAACGTTTATTAGTAAATGCACATATTTTCGAATTTCTCACACTAGAAAGCATATTGACTACTTTGCAATATCTGTAAATGTGCCATCCTGTTCCAAAATTTAGTACGGGTCATTATTAAATGTGTATTCAGGATCTTGTCTTTTGATACAAGATTACAGGTAATGACGTCACGTAGCTATTAGAGTAAAATATTCGTGACTAGTAGCGTATATTGAAAGTTGCTTTGATTGTGATTTAATACGTAGTTAGAGCTTTATTTGACTTTTTTTTTCATATTATCATACTTTTTGTTTTAGTTTAACGTTTTTAACTTCTGCAAATGAGAACATAAGCACAGTTATTTATCTGTTATTTCTTAGCGGATGGAACTTTTTTGGCATAAAGACAAGTATAGAAAGTAGTGTCATCATGACTAATTCAGTAAGATCACTATGTTAGATTCACATTTGAATCATCAGAGTTTCCATGTGTTAAAAGGACACGTGTATCTATCATTTTACTCCTTGTAGAAAACGGAAAGCACTCATCCTATTTGGATAAAACTTCAGTAAATATTTCGCTTCATTAGTAATGTCCTAAATTCAGTAAACGAATCTTACAAGATAATTAAAAGCCTTTGAACCAACGGTACATTCCATTTATTATCTTACACGTTTCATTGTGCTGCATGTACTTCTAAATTTTTCAGCTTTGTATCTGAATAATATTCCATTTGAATATGTTGTTGAAGCATCAAAACATAAGATCAATTCTTCCTAAACAAGAGGTCGTCTAATGAGTTCATTTTTGAAATAAAAACAACAGTATATAAAAGATATTTGACCATGAACACAGGAGGTAACCTCAAGATTGTTATCACTGACGTAATCTTAATACTCTACTTAAAATATTATAATGATATTTTATAATTCCAATTTGTTGAGTAGAAACAGAATTCAGTGTGTTTAATATGAATACTTAAATGAACTTAACAGAATAGAGCTAACAGAAAAACCTAACAAATATGTACTAAACCGTATAATGTATTTGCATTTAATATGATGTTTGAAATAGTTTAGGAGTTAATTTAGAGAAAGGTATAAAGCGCATTGATTTTATATTATTGATTTCATTTCTACTTTATTTTGTTTATTTAACGTTATATTCAGTTTGAGATGTGTATTACTGTGTTGGAGTTGTGAAGCTGTCTTCAACACTATATCATATTATACTATTAATGCCATAGATACCTCAATTGTTGCTTTTACTGTTTTGTGTAGTATTAGTTTGGCTCTCAGAAAATGAAGCTCCAGATATTTACGTCACAAAACCCTCTGGTACATGTGTTTTAGATACTCATTATATATCTATATAAAAAGTGGTTCCGTGTACTGTGTCTCCGTTGATCTCAAGTAATATTGCTGTACGCGTTGTTTACAGTCAGTACAGATTTGTAAATGTACGTATATGTTCCAATTGTTTCGTGAATGTTTCAAAATCCATCTATGCACGGTATTCGTTGATGGTGATAAATACAGAGTCAAGTTATGATAAACTCCTGATTAATTATACAAATAAAGCAGTGGTTGAGCATAACCTTCCATCTCTAGTTAGCAGTCTAGTAGATTAAGTTGTAGATCTAGATATTGAACAAAGAACGCATATTTAGAAGTAACAGAAGTGATTTGAATTTTAACTTTTACCATTGTAGTAGTCTTATACCAGAGTAAAGTGGCTCCATCTATGTGATTAGTGTTTGTCTTTAAAAATCTAAGTGTCGCAAATTCCATATAAAGTGTTTATTCTTGTTGAATAATTATAGAGGAATGTATTGTACGGTTATTGGGAAAATAAGGAAAATAAAAACAGTTAAGTTAAGTTTTCACTTGTATTCTTTCTTAGAGTGTCTCCAAATCAGCTTGTCGTACAGCATAACATTAGTTTACATACACAGAAGACCCAAAAGTAAGGAATCTCAAAATAACTCAAACTGATCTAAAAATTTGAACATAATAAGTCCTTTGATTTTGAGCTTATAGGCTATCTACATAAGTTTGTGTTTTATCTTCTCTAATACATATTCATGGTTTGCTTAATTCTCTTTGTTCACTTTAAATAACACTTGATCTTCAGCCTTTATTGTTATGCATCTCACGCCAAGTGATTACAGCAAAACTAACTGTAGGTTACATAATTTTAAGATTATTTTATTTATTTTCAAAAGTAAAACAAGTTTCTTAAAATACATGAATTATTTATCTGTTTAATACTAAAAATAAACGATCTTATAACACCAAAATGTTATTTATATTTAATTAGACACTCAACGTTTCGCTTTACGGCTTCTTCAGGAGCGTTCACTGAAACTGACAGTACAAACCTTCAAATGGTTTAAATAATAAACTCTATTCGAATCTATAACGTGCAAGTATACAGCGTGCTTTTGACATATTAAGTAGTAAAGCTTATTGTTGAAAGAAAAGTACTGTTGAAATAATTGACTGCTACCTGTAGTAAACAAAAGTTATATCAAGGTAATAGAGTGAAATAACAAAAAGATAGGCTAAAAAAATAAAATAAACTAATTAGAATTAAAGACGCCATCCCTTGTCTCTATTCATTTGTAGATGAGAAGAGCTTTTTTGAATTTTCTGTCAGTGTACTTGGTGGCTTTCGTGAGGATTTGTAAGGAGAATGGTGGTTTCAAGTCAGGTGTTACTTGTCCATGATTAGATAAAAGATGATCTGCAACTCGCTTCTTTGATGTTGTTTATAAAGAACGTCAACATGTTCTACTATTCTTATATGTAGGGTTCTTCCGGTTTCTCCGATGTACATATGAAGGCAGATGTTACATTTAAGCTGGTAAACAACAATGGAGTCAAGACACTCATCTTTATGTTACGTATCTGCTTGTTTGATAATTTCCCGTAAAAATTCTTTCCTAGAAACTTCAGCGATACAAGTCCTTTCTTAGTTAAAACTAGTTTATTCTTTCTCGTTACAAACTTTGTAATACACTTAATTTCCACAGTCACTTTAAACTTAAACTACTTTTATAAACACACGCTATAATTCACAGCGATCCACACATTTTACTAACGGTGCCTACTGCTCGCTTGACTCGATTACCTCTATCTTCAATCTCTCTATCTATCTCATTCTGCTTTATTTGCCGGGCTTATATACTAAAAAAGAGTGCGCCTGGAACAGACTAGAGTCTCCAGGAAAATTCAAGATCCTTCGAGAATCTCATGACGTGTTACCAGGGTCACGTGACTTCCGTTGTCGTAAAATTTAGATTGTAACGCGTTTTTGTAAAACAGTTGGCTATATTACATTGTAGGGGAGTGTACTGAGATTTGGAAAGTTGGCTTTTTATGGTTGGACCTGGCCGTTCTATAACTTCAATCGGCAGTTCAGATTTCCTGATTATAGTATTTATTTTCTTGGAGATTGTTTCGTGAATTAGAGGTATTATAGAAATAACCTTTTTTGTGTTATCTTTAGAAAATCGGGTTTTTTCTCCTTGTTTATCTGTGTTTTCTCATGTTGGAAGTACGATGCTGATTTTTGCGCGTCATAGTCCTTGAAAATTTGTTCGATGTAAAAAGGTGGATATTCGTTGCTCAGAAGAAGTGATTTTAGTTTGGAGCTTTTATTGTTTATTTCACTACAGTTGTGATCGATTCTGTTTAATTCTCCAATAATTGCACCTTTCTTTGGGATGCTAGGAGTTGAAGTTAAAGAAGAGAGGTTTTCTAATTGGTTTGTGAAACAAGTTAGATTGTATATTATTATCATTGTCGATTCTTAAAGTAACGTAAAGAAAACCTATGTTTCTCTTGTCATTCGAATGATTGAGGGTGAATTGGATGTTGGGGTCTATGGAATGCAGAAAGTCTAAAAATTGGATTAAAGAAGGAAGACCGTGGTTCCATAGTCCAAACACGTCTTTTGTGTATTTGTTATTAAGGAGAACAATCATATAAAAAAAAGTTACTAGATGGCAGTAACTGCTCAAGATAGTTTTTTTTTTGTAATTTAGACGGCTGTCAATCAAAATAGTTATAGTCACTATGAAAAGAAACTGGAGATTTCATACAATGTTGTTAGTCCATTGTTTTTGTTTTAGAAATATCCTACATAAATAAAAAATAAAATATTAATTCACAAAACCTATACTGGACTATGAAGCCAATCAAAATGTATGTGTTCGCTTGCGGCAAACAAATTTTAAACCTTTTAATTTTTACAGAAAAAAAATGAACAAAATATATCACGTGGTAAACAATCAGTTGTGGCTTAGGTTAATTTATTCTATGGTCAAGAAAATCAAAACAGATCACTGAGCTAGCTGTTGGTGGCCTGATGCGATTAGCATCTTCCTACAATTAATTGGCTAAACCATAGGTTAACAAAAACCTAAAAATTTGTATTAAAAAGTCATATCGTATAGCTAAAGATAGAACTATTTCTAAAATCACATGAACATGTAATGTGGCAGAAATTCACTGGATAATTGCTCTTATTCTTTAGAAGGGAATTTTTGAACCTAAGATTGAGGTTACACCAAGTAGCCGTTAATCATCATGAATACCACCAGATTTGAGACTCACCACGCAAGTAAAACATGACGTATAACGTCACAGATATTTTGATATTTAAAAAGCTTCTCTTGGTACCTTGGCATCAGGTTTTGCCAGACAATGGGTAGTTGCCAGGAAGACTGCTCCAGGAACTGACAACAGCTTACAAACCTCCAAGACCGATCAGACAAAAATGGTCATAAATAAAAATTGACACATTAATCCTCAATGAAATCGGGACAACAGTGTCGCTGTCTTTACTGCCAAAACCATGAAGACTGAAACTAATGGAAAATGATCAAGTTCTCAATGAACCAACAATAACTCCAAGAGTAGATCATCTATAGAAGTTGAACACGTATACTTTTAAGGCAAATACGTCTACACAGAAATGAGAACCTAAGCAAGGAAAGTTTGGAACCACCTTGGACATCAGTATGATGTATTTAGGATATCTGTTTCCACCTGCACCAAACGTGTGACAGTGTACAACCAGTTGATCGTGAGTTGTGACCAAATGGCTTGCGTGACACTAATGACTATAACCTAGTCAGTGAATAGACTACAAACTCAACAAGAACAGTTTTATAACACTGATCTATGAGTGATTAACATAGGACACACGCAAATATATGTTTGAGTATGATATAATTAATCACTTTAATAATCGTAAATTATCCAGATTACATAAGTAACGATTATGTTTTATGTAATCTGTCTTTTTAACGAAGCCGTCTCCTAAAAGGAAACAATTCAAAGTTATAAACTTATAGTCAGTTCTTGATATAAAAATAATAATAACTGTGGCAAAAATGTTCTTTTACATTTAAATATTCTATTAGTAACAGCCGCCCAGTGGCACAGCGGTATGTCTGCGGACTTACAACGCTAGAATCCGGGTTTCGATACTCGTGTTGGGGAGAGCACATCTAATCCATTGTGTAGCTTTGCGCTTAATTACAAACAAGCAAACTATCAGTAACAATAGGTTGTTACTCTTTATCGTCGGTCAAAACGATTAAATAGAAGATTGTTATAAGAAGAATGTTTCGTAATATACGATAACAAACTTTGTCTTTGCGTCTCATATATTATATGGATAAAACTAATTTGATGGCACACTTCTAAATATTTCCTCTATCCACAAATAGCTCAGATGCTCCAATATTGTCGAATAGAATAGATAAGTTTGGTTTGTGTTGAATTTCGCGCAAAGCTACACGAGTGCTATCTGCGCTATCCCTCCGTAATATAGCAGTGAAAGACTAGAAACTATGTAAAGTTTTGGGAGTATTTAAAGTCATTGTTAGTTTCTGTATGTTAGTTTTAAAAGTATGCAAAGTTACGGTTAGTTTTGCTTTGTTAATTTTGGGGTATGCTAGTTTTGAAGCATGTAAAGTTGTGGAACTATATAAAATTATGATCAGTTTAAGGAGTATGTTAAATTATGGCTTATTTTGGTATGTTAATTTTTGGAGTAAGTAAAATTATGGTCAGTTTTGGTATGTTAGTTTCGGGAGAATGTAATGTTATGGTCAGTTTTGGGGGTATGTTAGTTTGGCAGTATGTAAAGTTGTGGTCGGTTGTGAGGTATGTTAGTTTTGTGAGTATGTAAAATTATGATCATTTTGGGGTATATTTTGCGTAGTATGTAAAGTTATGGTCAGCTTTGGGGTCTGTTATTTTTGGAAGTATGTAAATTTATGTTCAGTTTTGGTATGTTAGTTTTAGGTGTATGTTAAATTTGGTAGTATGTAATGTTTTGGAAGTATGTTAGTTTTGGTAGTATGTAAAGTTAAGGTCAGTTTTATGGTATGTTGGTTTTGTGAGTATGTAAAGTTGTGGTCAGTTTTGAGATATGCTATTTTTCGGAGTATGCAAAGTTTTTGGGCGAATTAGTTTTGAGAGTTTGTAAAGTTTTGTGGTAAATTAGTTTCGGGGTATGTTATGTGGTGTGTCGTTTTTTGGGAGAATGTAAAGTTATGGTTACTTTTGAGATATATTGGTTATCGGAATATTAGTTAGTTTTGGGAGTATTTAAAGTTATTGTTAGTTTTTGGGTATGTTGGTTTCGGTAGTATGTAAAGTATAGTAGAAGAATCTTATATCCTTTTTAACATCCGAATTTGAATTTAATTAGTTTATTATCTACTCACTAGATGGCAGGAATGCATCACCACGGCACTCGATAGCAATCGCCCTTTTGTCGTTTGCACTCCGGACGTGGGGTCGTTATAACGTAACAGTCAATCCTACTTTAAGTTGCTAAAAGAGTAGCCAAGAGTTGGG